CGCACCGCGCGCCACCCCACTGCAATTAAAGGCGATAAATGCGTCCGAGTTTTCCGAAATGCAACGGCGACAGATTTGCATAAAACGTGAACGTTGCATTTCTGTTATTGCTGCGCGTAAGAGGCCGGCGGGGGCGGACCTCTGGGACGGACCTCTGGGACGGACGAACTGCGACGGGCTCCCGACGATCACGCCCCAGCCCCCTGGCGGGGAGCAGCAGAAGAAGGCCATGTTTCTGCAGAAACAGAGTCGCGATTGTGTGGCGGTCGCCTATCTCCCAGGTGCGCGAAATCGGAAGCGACTCGCTCCCTCATCTCTCTCCCCTCCCCTCCCCTATCGCAAACAAAAGCCTTTTTATTTATATTGGTAATTAAGAACAGTGTGTTTTTTTCCTTTTGTTCCAGAAACTGCGGCTTCGCTCTCTGCTGGTCAGCTGAAGACACCATGCCTGTCCAATGTGACATTTGCCTAAAACAAGTTGCAACGCGGGCTCACCTTGCCAGCCACATGAGTGTACACAATCTTTTCGACTGTAGTGTGTGCAGCAAGATTTTTCCCAGCGGTTCTCGTCTAACCCAACATTTCCTAGCACACATCGGAGAAAAACGATTTGAGTGTACTGTGTGCAACGAGAAATTTTCGAAAAGGTGTTTTTTGCGTGACCATCTCCGAACGCACACTGGCGAGAAACCTTTTGAGTGCACTGTGTGTGACAAGAAATTTTCGCAGAGTGGCGGTCTGCACCATCATCTCCTAACGCACACTGGCAGGAAGTGCTTCGGCTGTACTGTGTGCGACGAGAAATTTTCGAGAAATGCTCATTTGCAACAGCATCTCCGAACGCACACTGGCGAGAGACCTTTTGGGTGTACTGTGTGCGACAAGAAATTTTCGTTCAGTGGCTGTCTGCGAAGACATCTTCGAGCGCACACTGGCGAAAAGCCTTTTGAGTGTACTGTGTGCAACAAGCAATTTTCTCAGAAGTGCAGTCTGCAGAGACATCTCCGAACGCATACTGGTGAGTAGCCATTTCAGTGTACTAACTGTGTGCATCAAAAAAGATTAGGAAAGTGACAATCTACGCAAACATCTAAGAACGCACACTGATGAGAAGCCTTTTGAGTGTACTGTATATTCAACAAGAAATTCTCGGAGAATGGCAATCTTCGTTCACATCTCCGAACGCACACTACTGGGGAGAAGCCCATTGACTGAGGTTGATTTTCGGTACTCGAAAAAAAAGAGACTAACTTTCAAATACCTTACGTCTGCAATTCTACACTCTTCGTAACTGTTAGAGCTTTGTTTGTGGTCTTGCTGACAATGTGATCTTATGGATCTTGCATATTAACAATCTGATCTTATCTTGCATAGTTCCAAGTTGTTTTTATGGATTGAAATTAAATAAAGCACTGTATTTTTCGTAAACATACCGAACAGTCTAATTATTGTGTTCGCCGAGTGTTCCGGAACATAGCTCTTATTGGAACTCTCCATCATCCCACTGATGGTCGCATCGCCTTCAAGCGGATCTGCATGACAGAGTACAGTCATCTGTCACCACGAACAAACTTACAATAAAATTCAAGGCACTGCCATTACGGCAATAAGAGAAGTGTGAAGAGGGAGGTGGGGGGAGCGCCCCTGCGCGCCGACGCGTAGGCCAGCCACAGGCGTGCGTGCGGGACGGCTGCCTACCTCCCAGGCGCGCGCCGAACCACGCCGCCGATGCACCGCCGAAAGAACCGAACTGAAAATGTTTCCTTTCTCGAGCATCAGAAACACCACCAACTTCTTTTGAAACTCACTAAGAGGTTTACTGTACTGACCGAGAAAAGGGTTCAACGCCCGCGCCTCTGCAGCAACCGGGAAGAAAAGGCACACCAGCACCACCACGGGGCGTTTGTAGTCGGCCACGGGGCCAACACGAGGCTCAAACGCTTCCAGAAAAGGGGGCCCGGGCGGGGCTGGCGGCGCGCACGCCGCACTCGTGGTTCCCGCGGGCGAAACGAACCGGGAAAACTCCCCGCGGACACGCCAACGCTGCGCCACGCCGCATCTGGCCCGCCGACCCGCAGCCCCGGGGGCCACGGGGAGTAGCGATCCGAGACGGAGGGGTTGCTGCCGGACGGGCTTTCACCCTGATGGACGGCGATCGTAAATTTTGGAGCCTATCGCATATCGGGCTGGGTGGTTTGGTCACGCCGACGACGACTTGCCGAGTTGGTGGTATGGCGGCGGTGGCGGCGGTTTTTGGCTGGTCCGAAAATTGTTGGGGCCGCGAGGTGGTTGTGTTGCTGCTTTGCACGTCGGCGTCCTGGTCGGCAGTGCGGGGACGTGCCCGGCCCGTGCGCAGCTGTGCCTTTCGCTGCAATTTCCCTTTTCCTTTGTAATAAGAGCGGTGCGATCAGGTGATATTATCCGTCTAATCACAACAACAACAAGCTTTCCGTGGTCGTGCCGCCGGCGCGCCCGCCGCGGCCTCCTTGCCTCTCCTCATCGCACTCGTAGCCGCCGCCGCTCCGCCCTGACGCGGGCGCTTTACTTTTGCTGGGGTCTAAATGATCGAGGACACCTCTCACCATTACCTGATCGCGGTCCAGTTTCCCTGTGGTGTGCCTCTGGCAGGGTCCCCCTGGGGCGGGGTGAGGCGGGGCGTGGGTGTACGCCCTGTTGTGCTCCTGCCTTGCGTGTCGCCCAGCGGAGCGGCCACGCCACGCCAGGCCACGCTACTTCGCGGAGAGATGGCAGATGACATGTGCCGTGTGGCGCGGGCGGGGCGGGTCCATAGCTAGCGGACTGGTGAGGCGGGGGCGGGGCGGGGTCCTCTCGGCGGACAAGCGTATCGGAGACATCGGCGACCACCTCGCGCTTCCCGGAACGAGACAGTGATAGCTTATTACTCTGCCCGCCTTGGTTAACACGCCGCCCTTGTTGCTACCTGGACCACTGCCGCACCAAGCACGCAGCGGCATCAGAGGCGGCGGCAGCAGCAGAAGCAGCAGCAGCAGCAGCAGCAGCAGCAGCAGCAGCAGCAGGAGCGGGGACACAAGAAGTTCTCCACTTGGTATTCCAGCGGGGCGGGGCGCTCTCGGAGACACAAGATTAAGAGGTGGCAATCAGCTTCAACGATGAGCGGATGCGAATGTGAAAGCAGTCCACTTTACCACTACGCGCAATCATTCTCCCTCTCTCTCTGCCACCATCATTGATTCAACAAAATTCATCAAAAATCAGTCGAGCGATTTCCGCGCAGAAAAGGATTTTTACAGATCTCACATATTCCCACCTTAAAACAAAATGAAATCCGATTAAATCATCTTGAATAAATTCGCTTCCTTGTTGCAAATCACTTGTGTGGCCTATGCAGCAGAGCAGCAGCCAGCGGGGGGTATATCGCTTGGCCCGGCCGGCCGGCTCCGTCCTCTCCGCTCGTGCCCTGCACACGCCCGGTGTGGTCCCGTGCCTCATCGCGGTGACAAGTACCTTCCCTGTCCTGTCCGGGTCCCAGCGCGGCGGGCTCCGGGACCATTGTGGCTGGCGCTCGTACTCGTTTGCTCTTGCGCTGATGTACGGCCGGGTACCTCCCTCTCCCTCACGATCATCCCCGCTCCTCCGTCGCCGTCGTCGTCCACCGTAAGTCGTGCATTACCGGCGTCGACCTGAGACCAGAGCAGAGAGCTCTCGCGACCGCTCGCGACCCCTTCCCTCGACCCGAAGATAGTATGATGGCGCGCGGTTCCCGCCCGTCGCGGCGTGTGCGGCTGGAGCGACCAAACGACGGAGGGATGCGTCGCGGAGTGCAGAAATGAACGGAAAAGCGCACGTCGTCGGGGTCGGTCGAGAGTTCCCCCGCGCCATTCCCTCCCTTTTCCTCCCGCATCGCTTTGCATGGAGTCTCTCCGGCTATCCTGAGAGGCTCCAGAGTGGCGGCGCTACTCCCGTGCCACACAAATACTCCTCGGGCTCAGGACTCCTGGTCACGACAGGGAGTATCGCAGCGGCTGACGCGCCGCCTTCGTGAACCGGAGGAATGTTCAGCTTCCTCCGCTGGTATATGTTTGCAGTGATTGTGAATACTTAAGAGGTGTAAAATGGATTTAATTAAATAAAATTACAGATAGACAGAAGGTGGTTCCATAGGTACGGCCCGTGAACCCAAGTTCTTACACGCAAGAAACTAAATTAAATTAGGTGAAATCAGTCTTCTTTCTTTTGAGGCACTCGTGTGTAGCTGTGTCATCTCATCGGGTACGCCAAGTGGAAACCCTATCGGCGACCATGGTATCTGCGAAATGTAAAGGCAAGAGTTAGGCACGGGGTATGTACATCGCTGAGGCCGTTCCACCCCAATAAACCGGCAGAGGGCAGCACCCACGTGACCTGTCTGGGAGAAGTTACCCCCCCCCCTTTTCCCTAACCCTTTCCTCACATTAGAAATTCGGACTTTTATTGTCATTATTTTTGGGAAACAAGCGATTGCCATTGCCTCAGTTGAACCACCCCAGAATTACTTTGTTTCAGGACACTCACCCGCCACCAAAACCCTGGCTCTGGGCGGAGCTCTGGCTCTGACTGCTGGCCTGGGAGTTGGAACCGCCGTGGCCGAAGGACTGCGCCGATGAGGACGCCTGCGAAGACGCCTGGCTGAAGCTGGCGCCGCCGCCGCCGCCGACGGGGTAGCCGTGGCCGTGGACGGGTCCAGGGTGGTGCACGGGGGCCTGGTGGTGCACGGGTGCCTCGTGGTGCTCGTGGCCGTGGTGGCCGTGGTAGCCGTCGTGGTGGCCACCGTGGTGACCGCCTTCGTGGCCGTACGAGCCGTGGCCACCATACTCGAAGTCGCCGTGATGGTATCCTCCGTGCTCACCGCCGTACTTGTGGTGGTGGTGATGGTGAGGATCTGTAAGTGTAGAAAATTATAATTTTTTGAATTTTGGTTGGTGAGGGGAAAAATCACTGGTCTGCAGGTGCAGTGACCCGACCAGAACAAACACAAAATAATCAACATGGCGAAATTGTAGTATGGAAACATCCACCATCCAATTAAGTTAAGAGGTGCAAATAATGAAATGAACATTTTGGGTTGATATAAATGAGGCGACCGACAACGTTTTCTTACCGGCAACGGGGACGGCCTGGACTGCGGCGACCAGCGCGGCGGCGGCGAGGAGGAGGGCGACGCACTTCATGTTGCTTGCGATGCGTACGGGACGAGGGTCAGGTGTTGATTGTGACGCTGCTGCCGGCGCCGTCGCTTTTATACGACGAGCCCGCTCCTCCTCGCTCGGCCAGGACCGCGTCGTCGTCATCGTCGTCGGCGGCGGCGGCGGCGTGCCCCCCCGGTCCGGTGTGTGTGGTGGGGATGCGGGATGGGCGTCCCAGCGCGTCACCGCGGGACGCCGTCGCGACGCGCGTATACACGCAAAGTCCCCCCCGGGCCGGTGCGCGTCTGCGTCACCGAACCAGTTTGCAGCGTGGCGCGGCGTAGCAGCCGCCGGGATGGCCCCGCGATTTGATAGCAGGCCAAGCGCCTCTGCCTTCTGG